CACACACGCACACACACGCACATTCAATTACATTTTTTTTCACTAATCTGTACATACATATATCTTTGGAAATGGAAATGTCTCTGATGCAAATTAAGCCTCTTTGAATTGAATTGAATTGTGTGTGTTTGTCTTTCTGTGTCAATCCTTTATCTGCTTTTTATGTCTTATGTATTTTGGCGTCTTTATGCATTGATTAAAGCAATGGTTAATAATCATGTTCATGATGCTGAATGCCATGATGATAATGATGATGATAATGATATTGACAACGACGTCACATTTTTTGGTTTGTGATGCTCTGCAGGTGATTGGACTGGTGACCAGGAAAGACTTGGCCAGATATCACCTGGGCAAACACGGACTGGAGGAGCTTCAGCTGGCTCAGACATAGTACACACACACACACACACACACAAGACACACACATGAACTGTGACCACCCGATGCCTCATAAGCTGTTGACTACCAGCTATGCAGCCTAAAAAACCTAAATAAAGGGCCAACAAGAAGTCTCCTATAGTTATTCTTTGATGCCAAAATGGTCACCATGACAACACAAGAAAACTCCATCTACAGGCTAGGGTTATTGACAAAAGGACGCATTTTAATGTCGAACTGCTCTTGGCGTAAAAATCGTAAGACAAAATAACTGGCCCTAACGCACACATTTTTTATTTTACTTTGAAAGGATTCTTCCATCCATAGACTTCCATTGTTGTTATCACTGTTTGTTTGAATGCTGCTGTGCTGAGGCATCAACACTCTGGTACCTTGTTTACTTTGTTGGTGTATGGGGTCGAATAAAGTCAGAATGACAGGATCTTTTCAAAATAAAACAAAACGGCCACTTGAGAGAGGAAAGTCGGGAGAAAATCAGTTTTATGTCTGTTATCCGGTAAATTGTTTTGTTCACAAACACACCGACGCATCTGTCTGTTTTTAGTCTTATTCTGCCTCCTCAACATCATGTAAACTGTTAAATGTTACTTCCCTTATGAAGTAATGTCATTATAATGCAGTGATACATTATTAATCAGTCATAACATTGATTCATTTAATTTTTAAATAATTCAGATGTTTTTTTATGTCTTGCTGTTGAATTAAGCGAGACATTTCAAGTGGTGTACTTTGAAAAGCTGAGTGTTCATGTTCAACAGTCAATTTGTACTATCAACAACTTCACTGACAGTTTAAGGTCTTTGGCAATGTTAAAAACGTTAATATTTTTCATTATTGTGTAGTTTTGCACTGAGTGAATGCTGTTATTTATTGTTGAAGCTTGTTTTAGTTTTATGTTTAGAGTTTGGGTTCATGTATGGTCAGGAAAAGCTTGGGTTTCACATATTCTATAATTCACTTTCACAAGTGCAGTTTGAAGAAAGGAGACTTAATAGGCGCCTGATTATTTTTGAATTGTGTCTCATTTTGACCACAAGATGCAATGTGAGGCAGTTTTAGTAAGAGAGATCTGTTATTATATGAAGATACAGATCCTTCCTTCCCTCTTTCTGTCAGTGTTACGGAGCATATATATATTTATACTACTGTCAGTAAAACTTGGATTGATACTCATTGATACGGACATAATTTTTTCACACCTCCAAATGTTTGCACTTTGACCTACTACTGAAAAACAAACTCTTTTTGTTGAGAAGTGTCCCTTGTGAAGCTCTAAATGAATGTAAACCATTGTTTACCACATATCTTCTGTATAAACCAATCAATTTATTCCACACAAAACACAGACACTCTGATTTATTTTTTGTCAATTTGTAAATCTAACATTTCTTCCAGTATCTGTGTTGTTTTTCTTTTCTTTGTGCACTTCATTGCTTTTACTCTCTGATTTAGTCTCCTTTGTCGTCATTGTTTTGTTTTACAGTTCTAGATGTTAAAATATAGACTATGCTCTATTTTTTTTTCTTAAGACTTTTGTGAATTAATAAAGTTGAAATTTATCTATTATATCATTTGTTTGTCTGTTTAATCAGAAGACATTTAAACCCCTTATCTTCCTTAAGGATTGTTTTTACCAGAATCAAACCTGTAACCTTTCAGATACAGGGCGGTGTCTCCGGATCAAACACATCAGAAGATATTTCTCAGTAGAGTACACAGCAGGCACAGTGAGCTTACAGGGGAAATGGTACTTATATGTAGTATGTTATACTGATAATAAATCTCTGCATCTACCAATTCATTTGCAACATGGAGAATTACACACTGAACATAAACGTAAACCGTATACACCTGGCTGGGATAGATACTCTAATTCCCTGAGGAATTTTGTTACGACTGCTCTCTTTTTTTAAGCCACTAAAGCTGAATCATCATCAACATCAATGATTAACCCAAAATAATCTAGAACAAAGATAAAGAAATATAACGGTACAGTATATGATTTCAGAGACACACCTCTTATATCACTTCTCTCAGCCTCCACTAGATGTCAGAAAAGGCCACATAAAAGCACATTCTGATTGGACACATACATGCCAAATTACTTCATTGCCACACATCAGTTCCATATCTAAATATAACAGGTGGATTTGAGCTAATAGTGGTTATAAGTGGCAGTCCGTTTATGTTTTACTTAAATGCAACTAAGTCACTGACTGTACATTAGTTTCAGGCAGCAGAGCTGCAGCAAAGAAGACAGAGGAGAAATGCTCCCTTTGTCCCCCGGATCAGACTGAGGACAGGAGATGGAGAGCATGGTGTTTCAGTCAGTAAGCAAATAATAACATAATGCTTCTTTAATACTGACTCCATTGCAGGTGTCACAATATTTGTATTGGCTAAAATGCTTTATGTTGTCCACTAGAGAGCCTGACTTATCTGGATAACTTTGTAAAACCAAGAGCAGATCTTTTGACATCAGTCCATTTGAGCAGCTCTTACATATGTAACAGGTCTGAAGATCCATCACAGGCATTGAAGAAAATCTCACTGTGGAGACTATGCACTACAGAATATATCATACTGAGGGCAAACAAACATAACCTTTTGAATGCTCTCACCAGTTTTGTTCAGCTGAAACCACAACATAAATTAATTAATATAATACATCTTTATCATCATCATAGCATTAGTTGTGCATATCGACGGTAATACTTTGATATGAACCTAAACCTATAGTAAACAAATCAATCATCTGAGAACAAAGGACAGTCTGACTGCTGCTGAGCATTTTAGGCAACCTGATAAAGCAACTTTTAAAATGCCTAAGTAATGGACACAACTGTTCGGTATCATTTATTGAACCAACAGTATGTTACAAAGCAAAATGACTCCACCAGTGTCCCAGGAAGCCATGGGGAGAAGCAGGGATGAGGTACAGTTCTGCAGAAGATGTGGAAGGCTCTGATGAATCTATTAAATCACTGAATGGTTTTTATCTTCATGTTGTCTTAACGCCTGTTGTCTTGTATAATTTTTCCCTTAAACTTTTTTTTTACAGTTTCATCAATCACTGTATCAAAGTAAACTCATTGGACAGCTCTCTTTTCAACCAGTGCACCTTAGTTGATGAGTCTTTTTCACAGAAATAGTTTAGACTTATAGCAGGAAAAGCACAGGTTTTTACCAACCTTAACAATGGTTTTATTCATGAGTGCCAGTAAGTCATGACCGTGTGACAATAAGCCAACATGCACAATACCAGGACCCTTAAACTGAATAGAATTCAGCCATCATTCATTTCATTATTTACACGGAAAGAAAGATTCAGCATTTCAGCACGTTGTCCTCCTCAGCATAAAAGTCTGAAGTCAGCTGGACATCTATGCAATGTAAAAATACAAGTAAAAGTTCTGCACTGACGACCTATATTTAATTCTGTATTTGCCTAAACAGATGAGTGATGGACTGGTTCAGTTGAGGGCTGAACTACTGGCTTCATGTTATGAAGGTAATACCTCAGCGCAGCAGCTCCTCAATCGGTGCCTGCTGAGCATTTTATCAGGTTCTTCCTGTTCAAGTCTAAAAATGTTGGTCTGCGTGGCTGAACCCTGGGGTGCTCCTTATGACGAGACACTCTTTATGACACCAACCATGACTACCTTGTTCAAGCACACATTTTATAGATGCCACTCATTCCACCAGGGACCACTGCTGCTGCTGATTTATATTTCCATAAAGCAATAAGAGTATAATGGGTTTATAGCACAGCTTGCTTTAGGACAGACAGGAGAAAGACCCACTGCTGAACTGACAGGGGTTATTGGTAGGGCAAAAGGTATTAAATCAGTCTTTACTGTCGTTAACCATTTGGAAATGATGGATTTGTACAATGAGGCTCGAGATTTTTGACGGTCTGAGGATTTTTGTATGGAGAGAAACACCTCAGTGCTATGTGATTTTACTCAGAGAACAAAATGACTTCACTGTAAGTCTAGCTTTTATAAAATTAAACATTTTTAAAATAATCTCCATTAGTCATAATTTGTGTGTCACAGTGTTTGAAGAAACACCTATGTGATATATCCTTGCAAAACCAATATACAAACAATAACCCAGTGGTGGACGAAGTACCTTAAAAGTGGCAATACAACAGTGTAAAAGTCCTGCATTAATAACTTTACTGAAGTAAATGTACAGAAGTATTAGCATCAAGATATATTTTAAGTACCAAAGATATTCAGAATGGCCCATTTCAGAGTAATGTATATTATATTATTTTATAATAATTAGTGATGCATTAATGTTTTATATTACTTTGATGTAGCAGCTGGTACTGAACCACTTTACATACTGCTGGGCAGTTAGATCTATAATAACACACTGAAATTAACTTTTTTTCTTTTAATAACCTTAATCCGAAAATTATAGCAACTAAATAATGAATAAATGTAGTGGAGTAAAATCTACTATATTTCCCTCTGAAATATAATGCAGTAGATATAATGTATAAAGTAGCATACCATTTAAATACTCACGTACCTCATATTTGTATTGAAGTAAATAAAGAGAAATAGGGGTATCATTTCTGTACCCACAGGTACATTTGGGTGTCCATAAGGTGACCTCTTTTAAATGTAGAAATTCATGGTTGATAGGAAGGGGTACATAATTAACGAGGTTAAGGTAGAGGAAAGTGTTACAGCCAATCGATGATTTAAATAGAGAGTTGGGTTTATTGAAATAAAAAAGGCAACTTGTAAATTTCCATTCAAATCTTGGTCTGAGAATCATTTATTGTTTCAAGTTCACAATGGATCTATTTGAGTGATTTTGTTCATTTAATCAAGTTTAATTGTCAGTGTAGCAGAGTGAAATGCTTACACTAGCAATTACTTATAATTTTATTTTATTTAAGTATTATCACTGTTTTATTCTCAATTTATTTTCTCATTCTTTGCATCACTCCATGGGGACTTGTTTTTCTGTATTTATTTAACTTTATTTTAAGCCGTAGCCCTCCCTTATGGAGCCCCTGCGGAGTTGGGTAGTGCAACCCGTTTTTCCCCTGCAGTCTGCTGTGGCAAGTGTCCGCGCTAAGTCCACTGCTGACACTTACACAGTTTAAAACTTGATTAAGGACATTACAGCATTCACTTGTTATGGACAAATCAGTTCTAGCTGAACAATGCAATGAAAAGTCACTGAAAAGTGTAAAAAGATGTCAACTAATTGTTATTTCTTTAAATAAATTTGCCCTTGAGCAAAGTCCATAACCCAAACCACTGTGGTTGTACTGGGCAGCTTCAGGGATGAATGTGTAACAGTGTGAATGTGATCAGGGCGTTCCTGCAAAAGAGTCTGTGTGTACCTTTCCAGTGGGTATATTTTTGTACCAGGACATAAAGGTTCATATTGTCACTAGGGAACAGTTGGAGGTGTATCCTTTTAGGTTCATTCCTGTACCCTGATTTCTGTGTACACTCAGTGCACGTTCCTTTCCTCCGCTGCAATAAGCAAACATGTAGTGTGAAAAAGAAGAAGGTGAATCTGACTTTTAGAAAGGCTGCTCTGTGGTGGCTTACTTTGATATTTCGGATGAGAGCATTAACAATGAGTTGCTTAGTTACAGCTGCATTACTGAATGAAAACACTTGCAAGCAAGTATGCACGGGTCATTGCTGAACAGCTAAAAGCCGTAGTGGTTCTTGTCTCAATGTTTGTGTCTGCTCTTGTCATCACACCTGGAGGTACAAACCTCCCAATGTTTACTGACCTTAAGCTGTGCTTCACGATAATGACTGAGCTTGGAGTGGTTTCATCTGACCCCAAAATTCGGTCTCGCTTACCCTTTGGGCTCGCAAATAGATTCAGTTTGTATCTGTGCGGACTATTCTTAGGTTTATACTTTAGAAACTAGCTTGTGCTCTGCTTTTTTAACTTTTATCTCACTGAAAAAACAAACTAAGACTATTATTATAGACTGGAATGTCCCAGTTTGTGCAAAATGCAACAGGATGTTGTGTTTTCAAGCACACATACTGGACACCCAATAGATGCTTCACACAGTGCAGCTGGTGTCATTAAGGACGGCACAAATGTTATCATTTATTACAAAAAAGCAAAAGAAAATACCAATCATTTTAACTGGCTAACATGATCTGTGCATGTGTGTATGTAAACATTTGGATGCTAGTTCATCAGGTAAACCTACTAAAAGTCTCAAGTCAATTAATTTAATTGTACTGAGATGTGTTTTATAATACTTTGTTGCGACCATTTATATAAATGAGGGTTGACTAAATATTGGTTTCAACTTCCCCTGATTGCCTGAACTTATACTTAGTTTATCCAGTAAACGTTCAGACTTGTTTTGCTTATAAATTAGAAGTAAGAGCAACATGAGCAAACAAAAAATCCTGTCTAGTGTGACAAACTGGAAGGGTGATCTGCTGTCAGAGAGGGGTGGACCTGCTGTCGACCCTCATAAAAAGTCGCCTGTCACTGTGACAAATAAGCTGCGAGACGAGACCTCTGCTGCCAGCACGACTTCTGTGGAGAGTTCC